GATGTGATACAGTCATATCCCTCTGTTGCAACCACTAAAACTGCCTATGCAGCTCCTCTTTGCGGGACTGCGACACATACTTCTCCAAGAAGAGAGTGGAGAACTGCTGCCAAGTAAGGGGCGCTGCACCAACAGGACTACACCTCTCATACGCCTCCCACCAAGTAAAGGCAGCCCCAGAAAACTGAAAGGTAGTAAATTCCACACCACTAGACTCAAGAATCCCTACTGTATGAAGCATCCACTAGCACTTATCCAAGAAATCCTTAGCATCCTCGCCCTCTGGTCCACTGAATGTCGGAGGCTGGAGCCTACCAAACCTCTCAAGTTGACGCTGCTCATCATCCGACATAACTAGTATGACAAACTCCTGAGCTGGTGCAACCAGTTGGGCTGGAAGTGCCCCCAGCATTTGAAGTCCCTGCACTACCTACTCAGGTATGCGAGCAGTAGGGGTCTGATTACCTCCCCTGGCCTGTGAAGTAGCTGTAGCTGTGGTGGCTAAAACTGCCTGAGCCAGGCCAGTGCAAACTGATAAGATCTGTGACAAGGCTTCCTGAAGACTCGGAATCACGATGGGCACAGCTGGTGCCTGAACTGGTGCTGCTGGAGCATCCATAGCGGGAGTCTGATCCTGAGCTAGGGGAGCTGGTGGATCTACAAGTGCTGCCCTCGTTGCTCTGCCTCTGCCACGACCACGACCGCATCCACGGCCTCTGGTGGCCTCAGCTGGTGGCACTGGTGGTCGTCCACCCCGTCTGATAGATTGTGTTCTCACCATCTGTGAGAGAATAGAATAACAGAAGTTTAGTACTCGGACCAACAAGTTCGCACGACAAGAATTTCAATAATGTAAAGTTTTTTCTAAAGGTTCTGCAGCCTGTCGAGGATAAATGCAGACATCTCCATACCGATCCGTGATACTCTACTAAACTTGCTCATGACTCGTGAGACCTATGTAACCTAGGCTCTAATACCAACTTGTCACGACCCTAACCCCGAACCCGGTCGTGATGGTGCCTATCGTGAAGACAAGGCCAGCCAATGGAACCAAATTCTCATTTTAAGTAGTTAATTAACAGTAAAGCAATAAAAGCATGATTAAATGATACTAAACAGCGGAAAATATATCGATAAAGGTGCAGAATCTCCAACCTGACATAGCCCTAACCGGGGTGTCACAAGTCATGAGCGTCTATAGAACAAAATACAAGTCTACTAAATACAATATCTGGTACAACTATTTGAAGGACATAGAAACAATAGATAAGGGAGACACGGGGGCTGCGGACGCCAACAACTACCTCATAATCTCCGAATACTGCCTGGACTGGAGGAATCGGCACTCATGAGCGGAATCTGCGACGCTTGAATCTGCACACACGGTGCAGGGAGTAATGTGAGTACTCTGACCTAGTGAGTAACAAATATAAATAATGACTGAAGGTAAGAAAACACGTAAAGCACAAAGCATTCTATAAAGAAGTAGTAAAACATCATTTGAAAACAGTTAATCAGTGAAAACCAAGTAAAATCTCCTTTCAATAGGTAAAACATGTAATTGACAGATAAATAATGTAAAGTAAACAGATAGAAGCTCGCCCCTCAGGCTCAGTATCCACAAATCCGCCCCTCGGGCTATATCTAAGTACAGTACCAGCCCCTCGGGCTCAATCTCATATCACAACTGGGTACACGCGCTCACTGAGGGTGTATAGACTCCGGGAGGGGCCCCTTACGGCCCAAGCGCTATAACAAGCCATCTAGTGGCATCAAATCTAGGCCCTCGGCCTCATATCAATTAAGCCACCTCGTGGCGTATATGTATCTCAGGTCCTCGGCCTCAAATCAGTATTAGTGTTCCTCATAATATAAGCCCTCGGCCTTACTCAGTCCAAAAATCATCACAAGCCCCTCGGGCAATAGTAAAATAGTGTTTTCAGCCCAAACATCATTTAAAATATCATTTAAGTCTTAAAACTAAGAAAGAACGGCTGAATAGTAAAATAGTGGAAATTATCATGACTGAGTTCAAGTAATAAGTCAAAACAGTGAGGAAATAGTAATGAAAATCCCCAAAGGGTTCAAATAGTTGGCACGAAGCTCAAATATGGCATTCAACCCAAATCATGATGATAGCAATTAAGTTTCAGTCAAATACGCGGTAAAATCATCAATCGGGACAGACCAAGTCATAATCCTTAATAGCATACGACCCCACACTTGCTGTCAAGCGCGTGTCTCACCTCAATATAGCACTACGATGTGCAAATTCAGGGTTTCAAACTCTTAGAGCATCATTTACAATCATTACTCACCTCGGACCGGCTAAATCTCTAGCTCGCGACGCCTTTGCCCCTCGAATCGGCCTCCACGCGTGTCAAATCTATCCAAAATTAGAACGAATACGTCACAATATGATAAGGGAACAAAACCCAAGCGAAAACAATCGAAAAATACAAAAAATTCCGAAATTAGCAAAACCCGAGTCCCGGGCCCACTTCTCGAAACTCAGAAATTTTTACATCAACGGGTTCCTTGTCTCCCCATGAGTTCATACATATCAAAAGTTCTCAAATCCGACCCTAAATGGTCCTCCAAATCCCCAATCAAAAGTCCAAAATTCCAAGCCCTAGTTCTTCCATTTTTAGCTTAAGTTTCTATGATTTTCTAGGTAGATTTCACAATAGAATCGAGTTTTCGGTCCGAAATTCTTACCTCCAATCGTTTCCCCTTGAATCCCTCTTCGATATCCTTCAAAAAGCTCTCAAAAAGACCAACTATGGAGGAAATGAGCCCAAAAATCGCGGATGAAATGAATTAAAAACATTCTGACCAGGTCTGACCTCCCTTCTTCGAGAACGCGGTCAAACCCACGCGTTCGCGAAGCACAAAACTCGCGTTGACCAAAATTTGCCTTACGCTAATGCGACATGCTAGACGCGAACGCGATGCACCTTCCACCTACACCTTCGCGAACGCGGACACCCTTACGCGAACGCGATGAACAATTCACCTTGGACCCATCTGACCCAATTCCTTATACGCGATCACGAACATCTTCTCGCGAACGCGATGAACAGCTGCCCAGCCTTCCGCGAACGCGAAGCCTCTCACGCGATCGCGAAGGCTTAACTCTGGCCTTCCTCAAAACCTTCGACGTGTACGCGAGGCTCCACTCGCAAACGCGAAGAGGTAATTCTCTACAACAGCTGAAACTCAAAATCTGCAATTTCTTAAACTCCAAAATGATCCGATTGACCACCCGAAACTCACCCGAGGCCTCCGGGACCTCAACCGAAGGCACCAACACATTCTAAAACCTTATTCAAACTTGTTCCAATCATCAAAACACCTCAAAAAAATATCAAATCACTCAAAACACATCAGATTCAAGCCTAAGTTTCTAACATCTTCCGAAATACACTTTTGATAAAAAAACCCAACCAAACCACGTTTGAATGACCTGAAATTTTGCACACACATCCCAATGACACAACGTAGCTACTGCAACTCTTAGAATTCTATTCCGACCCTTATATCAAAATCTCACCTATCAACCGAAAATTGCCAAAATCTCAACTTCGCCAATTCAAACCTAATTCTACTCCGGACCTCCAAAACCCATTCCGATCACATTCCTAAGTCATAAATCACCTCCCGAAACTAATCAAACCATTGGAACTCACATTCGATCCCTTCAACACATAAGTCAACATCCGGTTGACTTTTCCAACTCAAACCTTCTTAAAAGAGACTAAGTCTCTCAAACCTTATCAAAAATCATTCCGGACTCGATCCGACGAACCCGATACCAATAAATACGGATAACGAAGCATAAAGAAGTAAAAATGGGGGAAACGGAGCGATAACTCATGAGACGACTGGCCGGGTCTTCACATTAAATATGCATAGTTGAATTATAGAAGGATCAAAATCGAAATTACGTGTGATAACTCGGTGATCTAAATGGTTAATTTTCCTTTATTTTTGTATTGGATGGAGCCAATTATAAGTAATGTTAATGGTAAAATAGTAATTTAAAACTTTTCTAGTTTCTAAAATGATATAGTAAATTTTTGAAAATAAAGTGAATAGTATCAAATTAACTTAGGACAGAGGGTCGAGTTTCATTAGGAAAAAGAAAACACATAGGACAGAGAAAGTGTGATGAAATTCAATTGGACACATCATTCACTCGGCAATTTGGTAGGTCATATGCAAACTTTTAACTACGCGCCACCTATGATTGTAAAAGTGTCACAGGCGAATGTCAGTGGCGAATCTAAGATTTTAAAGTCATGGATGCTCGCCGATTAAAATTCCAAAACGAAAAGGAAAAAAGAATTTAGTTGTAAGTGCTCACTCAATATTTATCTAAATATTTTTATAATTGCCTATGCAAATTTACTAAATATGATCAAAGGCAATTGCTTAAGCACCCACAAGTGCCTTAGGTAGATCCGCCACTGGCGGACGTATAATTTTAATTTTATGGGTTCGAGATTTTAATCGCCTTAAATTATTGGGTTTTACATTAATAATTTGTACGTATTCAAGAATTTTTTAAGATAAATACAAGGTTCTAATCAAAGCTACTGGATTTGGCCGAACCCACTCTCACCACTCTAGATCTGCCCCTAAAAACTGTCGCTATCTAGCGTCTACTATGCCCCCACCACGCGGCCTCATAGACCCTTCTCTTAGCCTCTCTCTGTTACTACTAGATGAGGCAGGCCCGCGAACGTTGCAAATCTTGAATAAGATTTTAGAACTGTTCGGTTTTTATGCTCTTTTTGTTTAACTATGCATATTTCTTTTCCAAAGTGGGATGGTCATTTGCCTTCTTTTGCCCAACAAAAGATACCAAACTGAAAAACAATAATAGAGTATAAAGATTTAATGAAATATTCACATTGCAAATGAGATATAATTTCTAATCTCTTACGGTGATCAAAACCAACAAAAATTGGAAGTTTACAACAACAAAGTGTAGGAAATATGTGATGGGTCAACTTCCCTGAAAAAATATAATCACTTGTTCAACACATTCTTAAGAGTTTCATGATTTTCTTTTGGTAGGTAAATACAAAGTTTTATTGCACATAAAACTACATAAAAAATGCAGGTCGAAATTGTATTCCATACGTTTCTGAGATGTTCTTTACTTTCTTGCCCATCCAAGTATTGTTAGTTCTATAATCCAAGAACATGCAATAAAGCTAAGAAACAATGGTACATGGAAGAACAAATGGACTTCAGCTTCCTCTAAGCACACCTAACATCTTAAGCATATGATTTCACCAGCATGTGGAAGGTTTGCTCGAGTTAGGTCATTATGACATGTAGTCCACTCCAAGAAAATTAACTTTGGTGCTGCTTTGCTCTTCCAAATACACCTCTAAGTTCTTGTTCCAGATGCGCCGGTACTTTTTGAAAAGAACGGACTTCAAAAATTGAGAAAAAACCATAGGTACTTCTATTCCATTTAACAGAATCAGGTTTGTTACATCACTACGTACATGGGCGGATTTCTTCAGAATTTGTGTAAGAGAGAAAGTTCTTTCTATTCTCCATTTACTGCAGTTTCTCTTGAAAGCAAGCTCCTACCCTAATTAATCTTGCATTGAGCAATGGTTCCATCTAGATCTATAACCATTTCTCGTAACAAGATCAATAAGTAATTATAGATTAAAAAATCCATCTCAGCAACAATTCCATGTAAGAATGCTTTTACATTTTATGTTTGAAATAATAAAAATTTAGAAGATTTCTCACTACTGTATAACATAGAAATATGTAAAGCTGTAAAGTTAAAAGTAAAACTGAAAGAGAGAATTCTTAGTAGAAAAGGATAAAAGGTTGAATAAATAAATACAAAATACTTTTCTATGAAAAAAAAAGGACCAGAAGCATGAGGGACGATTAAAACAAGAGAAACATGATATGACCAATCAGAGGACAAAAAAGTGCAGATAAAAAAAAGGAGTTAAAAAGCAAGAAATAATCAAATCCAGGTTTTAAGAAAGAAGCTTTGGTAGCATTACATTAGATGCAGAAACCTCTAGGTTATGCCAAATATATAGAAGCACTTATCAAAATTCAGAATGAATGCAAAAAAATATGTAACCGCTTTCAACCCTACACTTCAAGAAGGATGAGATGCAAATACAGCTTGCATAAAATTGAAAATGGTAGTTAAAAGAGAATTTTTCCTTCGTTTGATTGAAAGGAAGGATCGAAGATATTAGGAATACAGTCTTCTGCAAATTTTGCCTATATTTGTCAAGTCCGCATTTGACAAAAGTTTCTTGTACTTGCAATGTTTACCAAGTTAGGCAACTAAATTTCTTTTAAGAAGTCATAAGTTCATTTATAAATTAAACAACAATGCAAGCAACATCGTATTTGTGTTCATGAAGTATGAAGCGAATCTCCAGTTGAGCTAAAAAGAAAACCACACATAGCATAACTGATCCAGAAATAAAACCATTTCTGTAAAGGCACCAAAATAACAAAGAATGGTAGAAAAACAGAATAGACAACGATAAGCTTCTTCAAGAAAAAATAAGAAAAATGCACTTTATCCTATTTTTTAATGAGTAATCATCCCCTAAACGGATTTTTTTGACAATGCCATACTGAAAATTCGTAGTGTGTGTTTTTAATGCTTTTCCTAGAAGAGAAAAAGATATAAAAAGGGGGAAAAAATACGATAGAAAGAGTTTTAAGGAAGATAACTATGACTGTTATGTTCTTCGACACCTCTGGGGATAGAAAGTTATCGATGGAACTCATTTAAAGACACTTGGAAAATATTGTACAACCAAGGAAAAATGCCTTGTATCTAAGAGCTTAAAATAATAGACATGATTAAAACAATAGCCAAGGAGAAATACTCCTTAGACAGACTTGTAAATCAGCCAAGTAAAGTGTCACAAATATTATTAAAAGTGCTTTCCCTAGATTGCTGCTATCCACATTTTACCTCAAATGAGAGAGGACGCAAACTCTTGAAATCAAGCATAAAGTTTTTTTTTCTTTCAGGTATTAAGAATTCCAAAAGACTTCTTATCATTATAAATTGGGAAATATAAACTGAATTCCTATCAAATCATGGTTTGGTAACCTCAAGTTTCATGACAAAAGTTGTTTCACACTCAAATACAAAGATTCAGGATGTACTACTCTTTTCTTTATATGCAAATTTGGTCTTTGTATCTAAATATTAAATATTGTTGGGTACATACAAACGTAATTTTTTTTTTACAGAATTTCTTAGTTTATTTGCTTAATTTGTAGCATCATATCCAAAATTTAGTTATTTCATTTTGAAATGGCGAGGGTTTTATAGGCATTGAGTGAAAGTTAAAATCTGCCAACAATAAGTATTTTAGAAATCGGAAAGAATGCTAATTTTTCTGTTACAGTAAAATTTAATAAAATAGCAATTTACAAATAAATCTATGAAAAAAACTATTATAGGGTCGGGACTGTGAAGTACTATACATTGCATCAGCATGAAGTCATAATTAAAGCAATATTTACTTTCACATGCGGTAACCGGAATAAATTACCCTCCAAATATGGTTAAAGACCTGAAACAAAGACACTACATGATGTCTTGCTTGTAGAATGACACATGGTGACTAAAATAACATAAATATATCAGTACAAAAACAACAAATATCGAATCATCGTACTGAGCTAGCATCTTAATATTGTACAAACACATTACACAGTTCTTGTAATTCTTCGCATGCCCAGTCTCTCTTTATGTGTTGATTGAAGATTGATAGTTAAAATAGACCAAGAAAATAGTTAAAATGGATAGAATGAATATGTGCAGCTATCCATTTGGGATCATAAACTATTTCCTAATATAACAGAAAAGATAGTACGTATTTCTTCTTGAAACTTAAAAAAGTAAACAAAGATTTCCAATTTTATTTAACAAAGCTTCAAAATTTACCTTAACAACTCTTATCCCAGCATGGTTCTACAGGAATAAATATAGCAACATCCGTGATGTCTGCACCAAAAAATATTACAGCTAACTACTCATTTAAAATGACCAAAGTCTTTCATAGGTCAAAAGATAAAGGAGACAAAAAAAATATTAAGCTAAAGAGCACTTTAATGAAATTTAGCATACACTCGCAACTCATTTATAACGATCACAACATCTCATGTCTCAAAGATAACGGACACTAAATAAAAAAGATTAAACCTAGAGCTAACAATAAGCACTTTTCTTTTTTTCTCATGATCCGGGTGCTTAGTCCATTTCATTTCGGGATGATATGTTAATTAAACACTGCGGTAAACAAAACTAACAGTTGGCTAAATGTAAACATTTGTTAAATGTTGTCCGATTAAAATGTCTATATGGTTAGTGTTTTCAACCATGTCACTACAATATTGATGTAATGACTCGGCCGATCGTTTTGAGCTCTAACGCGTTGTTCAGCAGTTTGAGGCCATGAGTAGCTTCACTTCAGGTATTATGACTTGTACGCGTGGTCGGAATTGAATTTCGGGAAGTTCAGAGTTGATTTAGAAAGAGAATTCTTATTTCGGAAGCTTTAAGTTGGAAGAATTAACTAAGATTGGATTTTAGAGTAAAAGACCTCGGAATCGGGATCTAAAGGTTCTAGCAGGTTCGTATGATGATTTCGGACTTGGGCGTATGCCCGGATCGAGTTTTGGATGACTCGGGAGCGTTTTGGCGCCTATTGTGGAAGTTAGCATTTTGGAAGAAATTTCATAAGTTTGGCTTGAAGTGCATTTCAGTGTTATCGATGTTCGTTTGGGATTCCGAGTCTGGTCGTAGCTCCGTATGGTGATTGGAGTTGGGAGCGCGATCGGAAGTGAATTCGAAGGTCCGTAGGTCATTTTGGAGTCATGTGGCTAAAGATAGAAATTTGAAGGTTTTTGAGAAGTTTGACCAGAAGTGGACTTTTTGATATCGGGGTCGGAATCCGATTCTGGAAGTTGGAGTAGGTCCGTAATGTCGAATATGACTTGCATGCAAAATTTGAGGTCAATCGGACGTGATTTGACGGGTTTTGGCATCGAATGTAGAAGTTTGAAATTCTAAAGTTCATGAAGCTTGGATTGAGGTTGATTCGTGGTTTTAGCATTTTTTGAGGCCTCGAGCAAGTCCGAAATGTATTTTGGGATTGGTTGGTAGGTTTCGTTGAGGTCCCGGGGGCCTCGGGCGTGTTTCGGATGCTCAACGGATCGATTCTTGCCTTATGAGGATTGCTGGCTTTTTGGTATGAGTGCAGCAGGTTTTTACTCTATGCAATTGCGTGAGCGGGTCTGCGATCGCATAGAGCAAGAATTGAGGGAGCTGGAATTTGGCCTATGCGATCGCAGGAAGTGCAATGCGATCGTGGATGAGGAAGGCTGGGGCTACAGGTTGAAGGCTTATGCGATCGCGGGGTTGGAGTTGCAATCGCACAGTGGGCGTTTGGAGGCTGTGATGCGTTTGGCCTGTGCGAACGCAGGAGCTAGCATGCGAATGCACATAAGGAATTAGGGAGGCAGCATAGTTGGCCTATTCAATCGCGGAGCATTGTTTGCAATCGCATAGAAGGGTCGCATGGGTAGTGTTCTTTTAAAATCGGAGCTTGACTCATTTTCACTTTATTTCTTCCATGGGAGTTGATTTTGGAGCAACTTTGGAGTGCCATTTTCATCACCAAGAATGAGGTAAGTGATTTCTACTAGTTTTGAATAAATACAAGGTTTATATATGGATTTAGACAAGGAAATCTATAGAAAATTTGGGGTTTTGAGGAAGACCTAGAAAATTTGGGGTTTTGAGGAAGACCTAGAAAATTTGATATTCATGAATTTTGACAACTATTTTGGGCGTGAAATTAAGAGAAAATCATATAGTTGAGTTTGTGAGTCCATGGGTAAACTTTATCTTCGAAAAATTTAGGAATCCGGGCACGTGGGCCCGAGGGCAATTTTGTCAACTTTTTCAATCGGGGTTAGGAATTGCTATAAATTGGATTGTAATGAATAACTGAGCATATATTGATGAATTTGCATAATTATTGGCTAGTTTTGGAGCGTTAGGAATCAATTTGAGTCTTCAGAAGGGCGTGGGAGGCCGGTTATGGATCTTCGGAGCGAGGTGAGTCTCCTTTCTAACCTTGTAAGATGGAATTGTCCCCACAGGTGAAATAATTGGTTATGTGCTCCTATTTGTGGGGGCTACATACGTACGAGGTGACGAGAGTCCGTGCGTAGATACTAATATGTGTAAGCCAGGATAGTCTTGGACCCAAAAACATGCTATACTTGGAATATCTGTAATCTTATTGACAGTTGAATTGCTTAAATCTTATCGAATTGGTAAATGAATTTTTAAAAGGATTAAACTTCATTTTCTTAAATTATTAAAAGAGAATTGGCTTTTATTTGGATAAATGTTCCCCGACAAATTCTTAATTGGCTGTTTGAGCATATATTTCTATGTGTACATGCGTCGCATGTATGATTCGCGAACAGGGTGATTATTTATTTAAATTTGACCGCGTCGCATGTATCGTTCGCGAGCGGGGTAATAGATGCATCTATGGTTCGCGTCGTTCGACCCTCGGTAGTACACATTTTACATTTATGTTGGATCGGGTCGTATGACCTCGACATGATTTGTGCATGCTTGTATTGCTTGCCTTGAAACTTATTAAAGTTGTTGTTTCCTCTTCCTCGCTTAAGAATATATGTATAAATGTTGAAAAGGAATTTAGAAATTTCCTATAAAAGAGAGAATTGTTTACTTGCTTCAACCTATCGGACTATAATCATGTTTATAAAAATCCACGATTTAATTTATATTTGATATAACATTATTGGACCAGTAGTAAGTGTCGAAGTCGACCTCTCGTCTCTACTTCTTCGAGATTAGACGGGATACTCATTGGGTACACGTTGTCTTTTGTACTCATACTATACTTCTGTGCATCTTTGTTGTACATGCACATGCATCTCTAGTGCCCTAGTGAGCGTAGCAGCATGGTTGACATAGAGACTTAGGTGAGCTGCATTTCCGAGACGACCCGCAGCTAGCAAGTCTCTTTCAGATTACTGTATTTATTTTTTGTCCAGTATTGTATTCCGGATGGTTGTTGTACTACATTATTTCTTAGAAATTGCTCATGCAGTTGTGATACCGGATCTGGGATGATCACGGGATTTTTCAGTAGTTAAATTTTGTAAAAACATCCTCATTTATCCAGCGGAGTTTATTATTTATTAGTTATTTGTTTAAAGGGAAATGTTTTCTAAATAATTAAAATGAGAAATTGCTAGTAAATTGTGGTTGGCTTGCCTGACAATGGTGTCCGGCGCCATCACGACCCTTAGTGAATTTTGGGTCGTGACAACATGGTATCAGAGTACTAGGTTCCCTTAGGTCTCACGAGTCATGAGCAAGTCTAGTAGAGTCTCGCGGTTTGGTATGGAGACGTCTGTACTTATCTTCGGGAGGCTACAGGGCTGTTAGGAGTACTTCCCTTCTTGATTCCTTGTCGTGCGATTTGATTCCTCGAGGCTTATGCCCTTGTTTCCTTCCTACTCAATCTTACGCGACGCGAATCGCTTGTTGTAAATCGAGGATTTAATAATTGAAATGGTACTACAGATGTGGTGCGGGGTGTTTCTACTGGTATAGTTGATTGGACTATTATTTTCGCCTTGTGGAAGGATATTCTATTGTTTCAGCCCAGTAGCGGTACTTCTGAGAGCTCTGAGGCTAGGCACAAGTTGCCATGATGCTTATGAATGATTGTTCCGTAGTATTGATATGATGGTAGGATGTTTTCCTACTTATCGGGGCAGGGAATGACTTGAAGGGAGGTTTACTTAGTGCATGATCTAGAGATTCGGTATTTTATTCCCGGCAGGGGAAAGGCAATCGGGCTAAAAATGTTCAGATTCGGGTTGATGGGGTAACGAGACTTGATATTTTCGAGCGTGATGGAATTTTCATCTACGATGTAGTGTCGTTGTCCTCGATTGTATGTGTTAAGTTCGCCGGTGTTATGGTCTTCTGCAATTCGCCTTGGAGTAGGACATTGTGAAATAATATTGGAGAAATGACTGTTAGATATCGCGGGGTGTGGTGGTTCAGGATTGAATCGGTGTTTCTAATGTTGACGGCTTGAGAAAGATGATCTTCAGAAATGTTTAAAGTTAGTAGCGATTGTGGGTTCAAGTGCTACAAAGATAGATTTTATATATGGCAACAACTGAGCAGTAAAGGATGAGGAAGGACATGTGGAGAGTGTCAGGCGGCGGCTAAAATTTCTAGAAGGCCAAGTATAAGAAGCAAAGGTCGAGTAGCCGATTAAAGGGATGAGTTCCGCCAAAGTGGGAGAGTGGCGGAGTTGCATATGGGCATTGTGGTAGGATGACTATGCACCTTAAGGAGAGTTTGGAATGACTTGGGAATTTTAGTGATTGGTGATTAGGGTCTACAGATTTAATTTGAAGTATGAGCTATTATGCGGCAAGAGATTTGATATAACAGGAAGGAGCTGCTTGAAATGAAGAAGGATACAACATAACTTTGAATTAGAAGATGTTGCCACACATTTAATTGATGTCCATGAGGGGTGAATGTACTTGTGCAACTAGAGAGTGAGCTCGGACTCAGTATGGGTAATCGATGTCATAGCAATTGTACCCCGTGCAGCAGCGTTGGAAGATGTCGGGAAGTGACTTCCACAGGTGGGTTATTCCCTTTGACCAGGTTAGCGGTCCCGTGGTTGGCGAGGCTTCTGCAAAGAATTCTATTGGTTATACAGCAAAGAGATCGGTCATACGAATGTGGTTGATAATTCAGAGTATAAAAAGGGGGTTTTATAGAAAAAATTCCGAGAATTTTGGCGGTTGATTGCGTAAGGTTATGTCAATAAGAGATAAAGAACCTCAGTGAATTCCAGAGTGTAATAGTGGCTTCAAGCTAAGTGGGAGAGTCCCACCGCTTATGATTGGGTTGCATGATTAACT